GCTTAAAGCACAGATAAAGGGGATGACTGGGAGCTATGGTCCAGGTTTAGTCATCGTTTCTTTCCCTTCATTGTTATCAACCAGAGGATAATGCTCAATATCAAAACATGCCTATGGATACTGTTTGCAGTATATTTCTGCCTGTACATAAATTAACAGATGGATTTTATAGTAGTTGCACTCAGAATCAGATCTCATTTTCATACTTGGGAGTGCAGCTTTTTAAAATGGAGTCATTGAACTTTCCCCAGCACTATTCAGAAGGCATTATGGGCCCATTTATTTTTGCTTCCCTCCCCCCATTATTTGATAGTTCTTTTAAGAGTTGTGAGTTTTACTTGGTTCCTTTTGATCAGAAGGAAAAGGTACTGTAGGAACTGAGACGCTGCAGTGATTCTGGCTTTGAACTCACCAGGTCTAAAAGCCTGCAAGAACATTTTCTCTTTCAGCTTTCCAGCCAGCTCCTAGAGCTCTGCCTGATAAAGGGCTGTGGTAAATTGTCCTGAAGGACAGCTGGAAAGCAAGGCGCTACAGTCTGAACCCACAATGGAGCTGAGAGATATATATTTAGTTTAATCATATTAAAATTTAAATGTTAGACTTTAGAGTATATATATTTTTTTTAATAAAATTCAAGTCATTAAAAAAGTTCTCTGCTCCATTCCCTTGAGCTCGCAGGGTCCCGAGCTGCTGAAAATGCTGCGGCTCCATCTAGTGGCACTGCAGCCCTGCCAGGGCACATAAAGCAATCGCTGCCACCCGGGAAAAACAGTGGGATTGAGGTCCTGAATTTTCAGTAAAATTCTTTAATATTTCCTATCGGTTACCACAGAGTCTCGCACTGTCTGGAATGAAAAATATTTAAATTACACTAGTTTAGAGAGGTTAGTATATGGAGGATCATCCAGTGTATTTCTCTGCAGCATTTTTCTGAATAATCACAGTTACATATGTATTCCTATTTCTAATAAAAGAAGGTTGCATGTTTAAAACTGGCACACACTCTCTATATAGATATATTTATATATAAAGCCATGAAGTTCTTGTAAAAGTAACCTTGATCTGAATTTCCTAAACACTTGGAAAGCATTTATTAAAAATCAAACCATTAAAATTTGCTTGCTCTTTCCCCTCATCAACCATCTGTCCTTCCACACATCCACTGACTATAGAGATTGTTTATATAGACAGTAGAACTTATTCTGTCCTCAACTACATTATAACCTAATTTATTTCAGTGTAGCTACTCTCAGCTCTTACTGGTCTGACAGGAAAATTTGTGTCTCGTGCATCTACAGAGCATCTACATATTCACAAATTGTGATGAACATATGTTGTAATGGGATCTGAATGTAAATAGGTTGGTTCTTTGGGGTTCTCACCTCATCCAGATGGGAATTGACATTCAGTATTTTACACCATTACAACTGTGTTTAGTTTTTCAACACATCTTGCTCCTGCCTTTGATCTAATGAAAAAATAAACATTCTTGATTTGATTTGCTCAGCGGCTGTCTCAGCCACAAAACCTAGATTTCATCTTGTGTCCTGAACTCGACTCCCATGCTGATTGTACAAATCTGTTGAATTCAATAAATGTATTTAGCCTTATTAAGATTCAGGAAAGCAAATATTATCCTCCAGTGATGCAGCAGATAACAGGAGTTAATAACAAGTATGTGATAAAGATCACAGGATTCCCTGTAAACAAGATGCTGCATTGCACAGAGAGCATCTTGTCTGCATATGTTTCATAAGTAACTAGGCATCCTCATGGGCTTCTTTAGTTATTTTAGAAAGTTGTGTAAACAGTATTATCTACTTAATGCCCCAAATGATATAATAATTGATATGGAAATGGGGCAAAGCTCAATAGATCGTAATGCAACTCTCCATGGACTCTTGGAGATGATCTGCCCAGATTTTATTTAAATTTTTTTCTCACTTGTATGCAGCCTGTGGTTTGTTAGACATGCTAGGCAGATGTTGGCTGGACAGCTTTTTTTTTAACCTTTTTTCCTGAGAAAAAGTTAAATGTGAATTTATACTTGGATTGGTATCTGTTGTAGGTATATTTCAGAGATGTCAATAGCAATTTGAAAAGTAAGACCATACTGCAAAGCTCTGATGTACTGTGTGTTGCAGCTGAGAAAAGCGGATAGTACCAGATTGCTGATGTATACAGTACTCTGTAGTGGTTGTGGGATTCTTCTTGTTTAGGCTACAAGAGCACTGGAAAGAAATTCCAAAGTTTTAAGAAATACGTAAAACTGAAAAAAAATGTATTTGAAAATATTTTTCTGTTCCTTCTTGCGGAAAATGATAGTGAAGTCTGTAGGTTTTTTATATATTCTAAGAATCTCTTAGGCAAGACTTCTGCTTTTTTTTCTATAAAGTAGTGTTTAAAATATTTGTGCTATTCAACCACTTATTATTTCTTCAAATATATTAATTAGTCAGAAATGTTTTCTCTTGCATTGACACCTCAGGCAGTTTTCTCAGGGGTATGGCAGCAGGCAGAGGTGAAGCTCTGCTGTGGTGTTCATGCAAGAGGTATTGAAGAACACACACCTGTGGCACATCTCTTTTTGCAAAGCTGGGATGCCAGTTGTGCTTCAGTATTTCTTCAGGCAGTCAGTGTGGTCTCCAGACCACTGCATTCGACCTTGGGAAAAAATAATTTCTTTTACTTGTACCACAATTCCCCTAGCTGTAAAATGGGGGAAATGATACATTGGAATGTACTGCTTAAATATAAGTAAAATATAGCTTTATAGAAGAAGACAAAGTAATATTGGTATTCAAAAGAAATCTGAGATTTGATAAGTTGATCAAAGTCACTCAGTGGGCTTGGGGCACTGCCAAGAGCAGAGCTTGGGTCTCAAGACCTTCAGCTGGAGACCAGCTCCAGCCACCCTCCATGAGTATGGGGAACCTGAATCAGGAAACTCTGTGGGGAAGTACTGTGGGAGGAAATAGGGGCACAGAGATTAAGTTCCTTCTGCTTACTGAAGACAAAGTCTGTGGCTGATAAAATCCAGGTAAATTCCAGGAGCAGTGCAGCTACAAAAGGCATGCCAAGGGGAACACAAAATGCCAAAACATGGGCACTTCAACAGCTTTCTCTTTGGAAACAGCACCCAGGACTGCTTTTAAAGCTCCATTAGGGTTCTGCCTAGGGTGAGGGTTCTGAAAATCAGAAAGTCCAGAGCTCCAGGCACACAGCAGCTGCAAAAGGCATGGCAAGGGGAACACAAAACTGCCAAGACATGGCTTCCTCCACAGCTTTCTCCTTTGAACCAGCCCTTGCCAAGGCTGATTTTACTGCTCTGCCTAGGGTCAGGGTTCCGAAAACCTAACCCTAACAGACTAGTCCTAATTGCCCAATCCTAACCCTAACTGCCTAATACTAATGGCCTAGCCCTGAACCTGACCCCAACTGTAACAATAATCTTAACCCTAATGGCCCTGACCCTAATCCTAACCATAACCCTAATGGCCTAACCCTAACCCTAATCCAAACTCTAACCCTTACCCTAACCCTAACCATAACTCTAACCCAATTCTAAGCCTAACCTGCAGATGCTCATCCTGGTGTGCATATACACACTCAGATGTTTCCTTTCAAATGCCTCCTGCCTAAAATATATCACAGATTTAATTTACACACCAGGAATGAAAGTAGTGATCACTTGGGAGTGCACTTTCTGTGCATCACCAGTCTGAGCTCCTTGGCAATTATCAGCAAGGACACCAAACCGAGGCCGATCTCAAGCAGGCAGCTCTCGCATGCCTTTAAAGAGGCTGGTAGATATTCATGGATCATCCCATAGAAACTGAGGAGAATCCAAGAAAACTGTGCCTGGGATGCTGCACACAAGGATGGGAAGGGACAAAAGAGAGGAAATAATTTTTTCCAATTCTTTTGGTTTTTCATCACAATCTGGGGATTGCTGGGGATTTACAGCAGTGTGAAGGCCATGCTTCCTTTCTGCCTGAACTCGAAGCTGCCTGGGTGTGATGCAGAGCCCAGATGTGCTTTTTTCCTCACTGCTTTGTTACTGGTTCACACATCCTCTAAGAAGGTGTTACCTTTGATCCGTTTTAACTGTCCTGCAATATGCTATGTTGTGAGAAGATTAGCCCTTAAGTCTCTTAATTAATTACTCTTAATTCTATTACTTCTGTATAACTAGCAAAAATAATAATTGCCAAATAACAAATAATCCATGTATTTTGTGTTTAATGCCTAGCTGTTAATAGCTACTTAAAATATTAACTTTCCACCCTAGACAGTACTATTATTCTGTATTTTTTTCAAGACATTCTTCTCGTAACAATACACAACAAAGTTTTCAGCTTCAGTGCACTTCCAATTAGCTGAATCTTTCATGTCTTGAGGAGATAAATTAATACAGTTATTCCTAATTTATACACAATGTCATTGTGGTGCAGGTAGTATCTGTAACAGAAGTCCAGGGCTGAAAGTACTCAGTGGACTATGCTCAGCAGAGAATAATGACCCATGCTAGATAATGGCAAGCTAATTACAATATTTATGAGAATTAATTTACTAGATTGTTAGAAAAAGTGTATGGGAGAGACCTTAAAGTGAAGGGAAATTACCAAGGCAGACAAGCAAGCAAGAATGTGCCTTCAATGCAGAAAGTAAAAACACTGTGTTAGTTCCAAAAGGGAGATGAAGTATACTTCCTCATCTGTGATGGAATCACCACCACTTTTAATTTTTGCTCCCACCCAAGCTGATTGTAAACCCTCCCCCTCCTCCTGCCCACAGCAGCTGAATTCAGTGGGAACAGGACCAACCCCACCATCCTCAGAAATGGCAAAGTGCCATTTGACCAGGCCTCAGCTGGAGGAGCAAAAAACTACTTTCAGTGTCTGAGGATGACAGGATGACTTTCCTTTCTTGAAAGGAAGTAGTTTCCACATGAACAAGTAATGCCTCATTCTGTAGATTTTCAAGTGCTTTATTAATTGTATTTTCTTATTCTGACTTTTCACACAAAATAAGCTATGTTCAAAACAACAAAATCAAAAATTATTATTTTGTTGCACATTTCCTTCAAGAAACCTTAAAGTGCTCCTTGGGAACTCCTCATATCTGTACATTAGATGTAATATATTCCAACATAGATGTTAATGTCCCTTTGAGCATAGAGGATATTTAATTTTTTTTCCTATTAATACAATTTAAGCAACCCAATCAGGTAATTTCCAGTTCTCAATCTTCCAAGAGTTTGCTCTTTCATTTATTTTTTCTTGTGTTCACCCTACGTACTCCCGAACTGCAAGTTCTTTCAGGGTAAAAACCCGTACGGGATCTTTCTTTGTCTTCCATTCTTCCAGTTTTTCTTGCAAAGACAGAAAATCCTTGCCAAGTTCATATGCCAGAGCGATCATTGTTTCTAACAGTGGCATGTAATACCTGTGGCTGGTGTGCACACAAAGGCGTGACAGAGCTTTCTCTCCATACTCAAAGGCACTTGCTGGGTTTTCCAGGTCCTTGTGGCACACCACGATGGCACAGAGGGTAGGGACAATTGCAACAGGGTTCCCTCTTGTCAGCCTTTCCTGCAGCCCAATGACTTCTAAAAGGATTTCCAAAGCTTTGGTATACTGGCCACCCCGCAGGCAACCGTATGCTTCCTGAAGCTCTGGCCTTGTTAAAAAGTCAATAAATTTTTTTGATCTTCTGATGTATTTCATGGAATAGAGGAGTCTCAGGTAGTCCTTGAAGGCTAATTTTCTTTCATTGATTATTTCTTCTGTGAAGTTTCCTGTTAGAGCTTTTTTGGGAAAGGTTACATCTTCCAGTTCTTCGCTAAATTCTTCCAGCAGATTTCTGTGCAGTTTCTCAAAATCTGAATAACGCCGTTCAATTACGGACTTGTTGCTGTCAAAACTCCCTGTTTGCAAAATGATGATTTTATACATCTAAACACAATCAAAGAGAAAAAATAAGCATGAGAAGGGACCATTCTAGCCCCAGTGCAGTCAGATTTTGTCTGCAAAGCAGACTTTGTGTTTGTTCAGTCCTCCAGCTGAAAAACTCCTGCACCAATATTCGGTGTGTAATCTCGTGTACTCCCATGGCAGTGCTGCTAAATCAGTTACTGCCTGGGATTATGGTGCATGCTCAGTGTAGAGCTGAAAGATCTGCAGCCATCAAACTAAAAATCCCCTCCTCCTGTTGTCCTGTACTCCTCTCACCAGGTTAGGCTTAGCACGTAAGTAACTTGTACAAAAAGGGAACACTAACAGATCCCACCCTGCAAGGTGCTGGGAAAGCAAATAGCAGCAGACTGAAGCACATGAAAACATTCACAAAGCATTTCTGTAGCTGTACTTTGTTTATAACAGCCATGGCTGCTGCAATCAATTATCTTCAGTGAACTGAATGGATTTCCCAGACTTAATACTGAATGTAATCTATTTTACATCAGTCATAATATTCAGAAATGCTCTTTGTAGAAGACATTCCTAGGGATTTGGGGTGTTAGTAATGCTGTGAAAGAAGAGGGAGTATTTGGCAATATATCTGGTGTGTGCAAAAATAAGATGGAGCAACTCCAAATACTTTTCTCTCCTCTAAATCATTGTCCTGTATTCAAACTTAATTCACATTTAAATAATACCAAAAAAGCAACATTTCTACAGCAATCAGCTATCCAAAGCCCTTCACTAGCAGCTAACAGCTGTGCTGCCCCACTTAACAGTACTCAAGAGCACGTCTTCCTCAGCTCTTCAAAGCTCCAAAAAGACCATAATAAATGTGGTATTGGGCAAATAGCTGCAAAATTCTGTTCTGTGTTGTCCAAATAATCTCTTCTCACAGTGATGCTGAGGAAGGGCCAATCCCTAACTTGTGTAAACCATGGTAGCTCCATGGGGACCAGTTTAAATGTGTCACCAGCTAAGGACACAGACTGTTGGTATCTTGGGTGATGACCATGTTCACATCCAACCTCACCCTGTGCCCATTAATTTACACAGGAGGTGGAGGTGTTTTGCTCATCCCAGTTGTTTTCTCTGCTGCTGTGGAAGGCTGCAAACCAGTACTCGCATTATGCCTGTCTGATTCTCTTCCTTGTTTTTCCTTAAAGAGAAATTCTCTCTTTTAATCTTCATAAATGATATTTACAGGCACTTCTTGAAAGGTTTCTAAATTTGAGCTGACTTCTCTGATCTCTTTTCATTTGTAAGCACTGTGACATTTTCCGATACTTTGTCCTGCTCCCTGCTGAAAAGTGTATATATGCTTGATGCATTCTAAAACAATCATAAGAGCAATTTTTTTAGCTATCATTTTATCAAGGGCAGCTAAGTGAATAATTTACAAGTACTTGCTTTTTTATTTGTGGAGTGTGCATGAAAAAGGTAAGAAGTAGCACTTAATTAGACTGTCATTCAAATTGGCTCAGTTTTGTTGTAACGTAAATCTTTTTGCCTAGGCTTGTGACTTATGACTAAGTTTATTTGCACATTTGCTGAATGATGCTCTTGCTCTCATGCAGTTACACAAAACCAATTTCCAGCTATTTAGAAGCTGAATATTCAGGGGTGTGTGCAAGAAAAGCAGCAACTAAGTAGGTGTGTCCAGCATGCAAAAAGATGTAAGGACAGTCTCCAAAACATTTACTTGCTTCAAATTCCACCAAACTGGATCACCCAGTATCAGCAATGCTGATTCTTGGCATTTTTCATCTACAGATCTCACAGACTGTAGCAAACAAGGAAATCATCCCTATCTGAATTTCACAGGAGTACTAAAAGGCATTCAGTCTAGATCAGTCCTTCTGAAGGCCAGGAGCAGAATCAGAAATAAAAGCCAAGTGTCAGTACTGGGAAAAAGATACAAAAATCCAAACTACTTGGTTGTTCCCACTCCTCATACTCATGTTTTATTTTAAAAATATGACAGAAATATGCTACCTAAGGGTGCTCCAAGTAGGGAAGGGGAACAATCCCAAGTCATCTAGAGGGAGGATGTCTTAGACTTTGTCAACATCAAAGAATTCTGCACTTGTGCTAAGAGAAACCTCTGATGTGGAAGTTATACAAATGCACTGCAGCTGCTACAGCTGGCTAGCTCAGTGGAAGTGTAAATGTACAGATATTTTTACATTTGTGTGAATTTCCTTAATGTTGACAAAATGCTGTGTTTTAAGGATACTCAAGATACTAATTTATTTGATAACACTTTTCCACTGCAGCATATTTTGTGAACTGACTGTCAGAGGGTTTTTTTAGATGCAGATTCCACCAGGCAGGCCCATAAAATCAGTGAGAACAGGTTCTGCTCAGTGTGATCCTGGCTTGCAAAACCTGGCCCTTGCTGAGGCTTTCATGTAGTGAGGCCTGCTGAGTGCTGTGCAGACCCCTGCAGAGTGAATGAAAATTAATGATCTTCTTACATATTCATTTCTTAGCTTACCACGTATTTAGATAAGTGGTGCTCTACAATTCTGGTTGATGGGATTTCAAAAAGGAGTTTGATTTGTTTGCACTGGCGTTTTTCATTCCTCCAGTACTCCTGAAGCTCCTTAGTGGTCATCGAAGAGTTGGGACTTAGGGTTGCACTGGAATCTAAAACAAATATATTCAGTATTTCAGATTTTATTCTTTGCATTTGGGAAGAAAATTCTTATGTATTTGTTGTGAAAGGACAGCCCAGACTTTCTGTTGCTGTAACAGCAAGACCTAAAGACTGACCTAAAAAATAAGTGATTTCACTGCTAATAGACAGGAACAGATGCTGTGAGGACAGCTATTAGGGTCTGAAATTTTGAAAGAAAAGACATCACCTGCAGAATACAAAATTGTAGAGAACAGACTGCCACGAAATTTTATATGTCAAGGTTGCAACCTAGGGCACAATCTGAGCAGGAGATTCTCTTCATCATCCCAGAAGTAGCCCTAAGAAACACTGACTGAGTCTTTTGAGTCAAATGTTTCTCCAGGCTTCTTTGTTGCTAAATGGATGAGATAATACAATGCAGCTGCAAATTCAGACATATATTCAAAAACTGTCCCTACTCAAATACAGGGTTTGTGCAGTAATAGAAGAAAGCTGAGGAAACATGAATATCCTAACCTCAAAGTTGGATAACCAGCTCAGCTGAAGGAGGATTTCCCAAATTCTCTCTTTTTTTGATGGCACAGTTCAGTTATATATATGTTTTATATATATATATATATATATGCATATATAAAAGATATAATTTTATTTTTATATGTCTATATATCTATATCTATATATATACCTCCTCTTTTCTCCTTTCTCTCTTCCCACAGTCATACATACACACACACACACACATATATATATATATATATATGTATATATATGTGTGTGCACATATAAAAAATATGGGACAGCTGGTTGGAAAGTTTGCTTACAGGAGAATTTGATGTGGAATTTCAAAAAGGTGATTTCTCTGTCTTGGAAATCTACTGACAATAGATTTCACCAGGTGCCATACAGGCTAGATAAGTGGATAAAATAAATGGAATATGCAGAAATAGACTTGTAAAGGCACCACAGTACTCTTTGAGTGGCCTCCCTTTTACATGTTCTCAATCATTTGACCATACAATTTCAATTATCAAGGCCTTGGGGGTTTGGCTCACAGCATCTATTTCCTAGGAGAGGTGGTTTTTATGACATCCTTCCAGATTTAAAATCTTGATGAGATTATATATATTTAAGGTTATAGATAACATTTGATTCAATAACATATGAGAGTGATGTTAGGCATGGTGAATGCTCAGTGCAGCCTCTTTAAAGGCATGTGAGAGCTGCCTGCTTGAGATTGGCCTCACTTTGGTCCCTGCTGAAAGTGCCAAGGAGCTCAGATTGGTGATGCACAGAAAGGGCACTCCCAAGATCAGCCATCTGGTGATCACTGCTTTCATTCCTGGTGTGTAAATTAAAGCTGTGATATATTTTAGGAAGGAAGCATTTGAAATGAAACATCTTGGTGTGTATATACACACACCAGGATGAGCACTGGTTTTACTATTGCTACTACAAGTGTACTCAAGGCTTTTTTTTCAGTGGAGTATGGCAGTACAACTTTGAACCACTGCTGCAATAAAGAAGCAAAATTTTAATACAAAAGATTAACACCATAAACAGCTAGATGAAAAATAAAATTAAAGGATAGCATCAACCTTGCATGTCATCTTTTTCTGGGTTTTCTTTTCTCACTTGACATGAAATTTCTGCTTTGGGTTCGTTTTTTTCTTCATCAGATGGACTTGTGGTAGAAGATGTGGTAATTCTGCTTACAGCTTCCAACAGTTCCCTTTCTGCTGTGCAGGGTGAATCTTGCTCCATTGCTTGCTAGCACTGAAAGATAACAAACCCCATGAGATTTCTTAGTACCATGCCTTTAGGGGATCCACTTTGGCAATTTTCTTGTATTATTCATTCTGTTGTTTTCATTCTATTAATTCATTTTTCATTCTTTGTTCTCTGTGAATTTGTATCAGTGCAACTTCATAAAAACTAAAGTAATAAATAGAAATATCTACACAGCACAGAACCATCCCTATTACTGTTACCAATGAAAGTGTTTGGATGTTTTTCTGTCAGATTAAAATCAAATAAGAAAACCATAAGCAGTTATGTTGAATAGGATTAGACTGGGAACTCTGTTCTTACCTATGAGATTTTTATCATGAACTTCAGTGTGGGTAGGTTTCTTCCTCCTTTTATTTTGCCCTCAAGCTTGCAAGTATGAGCACAGATGAACTAAAAATCTTTGAGATAATTAGTAAAACCAGCAGCCTGGTTCTCTTACACTGTTAAAATTTACTCTTCTCGGGACTCAAAAACTTATTGTCTGTTCTTAATCACAACCTGTAGGACAAAATAGGGTGATATCTAAAATAGTATAAAGTTTTTATCATATTTCACAGCTTTAGGTTCTCTCCAGAGACTTGTCTCTGTACTGTGAAAACAAAACAACCGACTTTGACAATGGCTTGGTGGCAGGAGATCTGAATTTTTAATTATTATACAGAAGTATTCTCCTTTTACTTGTTTTTTTACTCTAGGTATACTGTGCTATTTTAGATCTGTTCTCCTAGGACCATTGTTTTACCAAGTACTGACAAAATGTTTAATACATTATACTCTTACTCCATAGACCACGTTGGCCATTCTGCTGCTTAAATATCTCCACATTTAAGGGTGTTATTTGCTTTGTTGGAGATTTTTTAAACAAACAAACAAAACCTGCCTATTACACCACTGTGTTACATGAGAAGTTGAAAAAGCTCTAAGAACATCCTAACAACTTTGCAAAGGTGCTGTGTTCCCTTAGCAAAGTGTTGCTCACAGTTCAGCCAACAAGTGAAAACCAAATAACAGAACAATACAGTTTTACAAGAATTTAATGCCCAAGAAGTAGTTATGAAGCAATGGGAGGTTTTAGGAGGGTTGTTGCTACATATCATTTTGCCTCTACTCGTGTACCACACAGTTATGCAATGCTGGATACAGAGGTAAGGAAACTCCTTCAGCAGACGTATTGATTTCTGGCAAGTTGCAAGGCTATAAAAAGAAAAGAAATTACTTTCCTCACTGAAAATAATGGAAGTGCAAACCACTTTGCTCTAACAGAAACCTCTCCTTTGGCTGGCTTGCACAAGTAAGCATACAGATGTTGTCATTCTCCTAAAGCATCATGGAAGCTCTTATTGTTGGAGTGAAAGTTCTTACTGTTCTTCAGACCTCCTTATGATCTGCTTTTTGAACATGAAGAACAGCCACTCACTTACTGCTTAACTGCTCAGTCTTTTGAAAATCACAAAAGACCATACATCACAAGAGCATATAGAGTAGATTCAATGAGCAATCTGAAAAAGGCCAAACAGATTTAAATGACAACATTTTTCTTGGATATGAGTTGGGATAACTTTATAAGAAAAATTGTGTTTATGTTGAAAAAAAACCTTTGTATGTGCATCGTTTTATATACATATATATATATATGAGTATATATGTGTATATATATACACATATATACACTTATTTATTTATTTATTTTTACTGTTTTAAAACTGTTTACCAGGATACACACTTGTAAACAGAAGAATGCAGAAGTGACACACAAGTTTTCTGCCTTGAATACATGTACCTTGAATATTAACTGCACTTCATGCAAAAAGTTTCATTTTCACAGCTAAAACTCATGGCAAGCTGTTTTATCTAAGCTACTACTTATTTTTCCATATTAAAAAAAAAAAAAAAAATCCAAGCCAGCACAACCCTCCTGCAATAAATTACACGATGTTATCTAGAGCAGACACTCATCCTGTTCCGTGTCGGAGTGAGCGCTGCTCCAGCCCCTGCCCTGGGTTTAAGCATCACAAACCCGGAGCACCCACCTGTTAATCCCGGAGTTTTTCACTTGTTTCACACCTGAGCTCCGAGCGGGGCCCCGCACAGCCCGCCCGGCCTCTCCAAAGCGCACAAAAAGATGTCTGTGCCTGCTGCTAGCGGGCACATTCTGGTGTTACAGAAAGGAAGGAAGAAGGCTCGGTTAAATCACACTTCCCCAAGTGCCGCTGCCCCATTGCGCATGAACCCTCCGGAGCCTCCGCACCCGGGGCCGCCCCAGCCCAGCCCGGCCCGGCCCGGCCCGGTCCCGCTCCGGGGCTCCGGCCCAGCACAGCGGCCCCGGTACCGGAGAGACCTCGCAGCGAACCGTGCCATCAGCACAGCCCATGCAAACCACCCTGCATGGGCAGAGAAGCCAAAAAAACACTCAGCTAAAGGGAGATTAGGGGAAAAAGAGCTAAGCACGTAAAATGTACTTATGCGGAAAAAAATGCCCCTTGGGATGTCTTTAAAATACAGGCTTAACATCCAGTTCAGGGAAAAAAATGCACGTGGCATCACAACAAACAGCCTTGCTCTGCGTAAACTTGCACTTCTGACAGAAATCCTGCTTCTGCATAGCGCAGAACACATGATTAATTTCAAATATCTTCTCAATTAAATTTCAAATAGGAGCATTATCATATCTGACATGATTACTAAAGTTGAGATGGGCTTATGAGTGTGCCTAAAGTTAATCCTATATGTGTTTAAATTCATTGTTGAACTGAGGACAAGATGAAGAATAATGTATTAATCCACATATCCTTTGGTCCAGATGCTTCCTTTTGGAGTTCACTTCAGTCTGGAAATTTCCTTTAAACCACCAGGATGGCTATTCTTGGGGTAAGTAATATGGACATTATCTTTTTTTAGTAAGGTAAGTTTCCCCTTTGCCAAAGTTCAGTCACTGAAAAACCAAGCAATTTTAATGCAGCACAAATGTGGGAGGCAAGCCTCCAAAGGACCACGTGGATCCTGCCCCACACATTCCTTTAGAACAAACAATTTAAAATAATGTAAAATCAGGGCCATAAACTGGTAATACTTCTCTTCTGCTTTATTTGCAATGTAAAACAATGCCAACTTTAACTTGGACTTGGTCTAAATGTAGGAGTTTTGCCAAAATAGCTGTCAGAATGATGAAAAATCCCTTGCATGCAGCTACAGCCCCGCTGGCAAAAGCCCTGGAGTGGATGCTGTTGTATTGGCAGAGTCCTTCAGCCACTTTAGCCTATTCCATGAGAAAAGTGATTTAAGTTACACCCGAAAAGAAATCTGTGCTTGCCAATTCAGCTCTAAGGTGTAGCTGTACCAGCCAACTCTTTTAAGTGCAGACAAGGCATGGGTTCCTGGCACTTCTCTCATTCCTTTAAAGCTAGATTTATGGCTTTGGTTACAATTGTGAGCAAAAACCGAGGGGGATTTCAGCGTATTTCACTCATGCTGACAGTTTACAGATGTATCTAAACTTTGAATTTGGAAATAGTTAATTTATGTGTTGCCAAAAAGCAGTGTATTATTTTGTGATGTTTAATGCTATTGTCCTGCTCTTGGTAGAGTGAAAAGAAAAGAAAAAGTACATTTTTCAGTATATTAAGTGTGACCTCTACTTTCAATTATTTCAGAATAAGTACGTTCTAGTAAAATCAACCTGGATTATTAAAAGAAGTGAAATGTGTTATTATATTTACAAATCAAGGGTGTTCCACAAGACTTCTGCCTGCCTGAATAGAGGCAGCTATTATGGTCACAGCTGGTTCCTGAGGGTGTTCCTCATGCCCAGGAGCTGTGACATCTACAGCAGGTTTGGCAGGCTGCTGCTGCTCCTCATCCTGCTCCCAGAGCTCAGGTTTGGTGCAAACAGCAGCTCAGGTTTGGTCCAAACAGTCCTTCTCTGGGACCCAGTGCTGTTAGTCTGGCAGCATTTTACTTTGCTAAGTGTCTACTTGATCAGCACACGCAAAACACGCTGCAGTACACAGTATTGTTTGCTAGCAGAATGCATAACTAATATTTCTTTTTATATTCTCAGCTATGCTTCCAACAGTCAAATATTATGTAAAGGTTAAGCAGTTGAAAAGAAAATTTTCACAATGGCACCAAAGCATTCTGAGAGACAGGCAAGTGCACTTACACCATCAATTTACTTTACCACTCATAAAACTGTGGTAAATTTTAATGGAAAAGCATTTTCTGTCATTGTCAGGGATGGAAAAGGGATCCTGATGCAGTGGCTCACTCTGAGTTTGTGTTCTGTGAGAGCACTGACTTTGTCAGGCATACAGACCATTGTGTTATAATGCACCTACCAGGGGATATGGGAAATGTGTGCTCTGCAATAATGCAGGAGAGAGGCAAGGTTAAAATCATAACAGTGCAGTGCATAAAAGGTGGCTGTCATGTGAGTTATGTCCTCCATACCCATTTAAGATGAAATGACTCATTTTAAGAAGAATAACTGCAAAGTTTATGGGCAAACCTTGGTGAGCAGCCAAGAGATGAGCCAGCATTGTGATGCCATGTAAAGGATGCCTGCCACTATTGAAAGGCTGTGTGCTTTTGAGAGTTAAAGAACCAAAAGAGATTGCTGCCCCAGTGTCAAACACTCTGCCTTGATTTATACCCTGATCTGGGCAGTTCCCATTTTCCCAATCAGACAGATTACACAAACCCTGACAGATACAATATTTAACCATAGACTACAAAGCTGGTATCAGCTGGAAAACTTAAGAGCAAAATCAATGTCACATATGAACTGCAGTTTTCTGGCAGATTTTACTGGCATTTTATCACAAGAAGAGCAAGGACTTATTCTTGTTAAAGAATGTTGCTGTACAAAATACTCTTCAGCTTCTGTCCTAAGAAGGGCAGCTTCAGGCAACTTTGCAGTCTGTGCTGTTTTTCCATCTCCAGTCCCAAACTATTTTGCTAAGCATGATTTATTTTACTAAATCATTAATTAGAACAGTAGATAATGACAAAAAGCCCTAAACAAACAAGAGGAGGCAGAAATACCTGACATATTTATCCAAGTCCCTTTTTATCATATAACTAATATTTAGAAAATGCAGTCATATTGTCTTTGATGCTTCTACAAGATCCTTTCCTCTCTGTTTTTTTAATGCAGCTGGATAAATACCAACCATTTCCATGTTTGAATTAGCAGAAAAAAATGATCTGTTTTGATGAATACTCTGCACTTTTGGGGCAATGCTGTGATAAATGAATACCACACTCCTATCCTGGCACAGCACAAAATTCTGTTCCATGCTATAATATGTAATTGCACAGTGTTGTGTCATTTGGAAGTGAAATTTGTTTACCATACTTCATTATTACAAAACATGTCTCTCTTAACAAGAGTGTGGTTTAAAGAAATCATTTGCTGTTTAACGGCAAATGTCTTCGTGCTGGTGTTACTGACAGGGTTTTCAACATAAAAGAGATGTAGCAGGCTCATTGTACACTGCCAAAGTCCTGTTATCACTTTGCAGCTCCTTCATACTTCTAAAGGAGTATGAAGGAGCTTTGGAGTAAACAGCAGTCTGGGCCTGCCTTTTATCTGAGGTCTGGCAGTGACACGGAGCTGTGTGCAAGCCCAGTGGGTCAACAGGATTTTAACTTGGGTTAAATGTCACAAGCACTGTTCTGTCTGCAGAGTGACAGCCTTTGCCAATGGGCCATGTTGGTCATTTTTCCTACTGAATTAAGTTCATAATTATGCAATTACATGGAATGCAGAATATTTTAAAATAGCAAAATAATATTAAATATTAAATATTAAAATATTTAAAATATTTTAGAATTTTGGTTCTGAGTTATGAGGACCACTACATGTAGTCATTCCTATCAAGAAGTCTGATATTTATGTATCAATGTATCTGTCCTGTCCCCTTTTCTTCTCACATATAATTATGGTGTACTTTGGCTAATACTTACAGTCATGTTCCACATGTGATTTATTTATACCCAGTGTGTAAACATAGTGAAATTTGGGATAAGAGGACTTCTAGCAGACGTGTTAATGCAGTTTGCAGTAGCAGAAAGGCAGCTCCAGGAGCAGAGGCTGCAGCAGCTGTGTGTAGATAGCCACCTTGAGGATCAGCAGAGCATGACTTGGGGTTACTCTGCGCTCTTCTGCAAAATCAGGAAGGCATAAATCTTAGCATATTGTTTAGTATAATATATTTTCAATGTTATTTATTGTTTAAAAATTAAATGAGACTTAGAAATGCAATTTTTCTTTTAAGGAACTAGGGGGAATGATTAGTGTGAGCATTCATTCCACAGCAGATGGAATCTCATTGCTCCCTCGGGAGTTCCCAAAAAACTCCTGCTGGTGTCTGTGTCCTTTCCATCCTGCACATACCCAAACAAATAAAACCCCCTGTTCTGCCTTCTCATCTTCCTAGCAAAATCCTTGGTAGTGACTCAGAGTGCTTCAGAACTTAGAAATGGGCACTCCAGCCTGATCTGGGGTGCATTGGGTCTGCTTACTGTCTGTCTCTGGATTCTGGAGAACTACAGGGAACAGAATAACTGTTTTAGATAATGTTGAACTGCACGTTACTAAATTACATAAAACCATATGTTAAGGGAATGTTACAGATGCTAAGAAACCAGGAAAGTGTTTATTTATATGCCAATATTACTGTAACTTCCTGAGGTGCATGATCAAATGCTATATCCTTAAAAGATACTTCTTTGTAGGAAGGTCATTTCTAAAAGTGCAAAACTTTGGACATATTTTCAAATGAAATTTAAAGCACTAGTTTAGAATCCTACGTGAATAAAAACATATATTCTCTAATGGAGTTTTTAAACCTAACTGTCCTGTTGAGAAACTCCCTTCTCTAGCAGAGCTCATTCTCTCATTCATAATTTAAGCAGAGCTCACTATCTATAAACGGCAGCTGATAGAATAAGTGGAGCAGTGGAAGTTGCTAAGTGGATAGAATAGCGCAGCATTCAGATGACAGGCACAATCTAAAGTAGGTCGGGTAAAGACGAACCACATTTGGCTTTTATTACATGAAATATTCAGCAGCATTTCTTCAATTTCTTGGGAGCAAAAATATTTCAGAAGCGGGTATTGAAGCCAGACCGAAGCCGGACATCCGTGAGCCGGCT